TCCGGAGAGGTTGGAATCAGTCTTGGGTAGTCCATGGACATCTCCATGAGTGTAGGGAACCATGGTTGAGCCGTCCAGAATGGGGCGATGAGAATCATGGAGGTTCGGTAGCGCCTGAGATGTAGAAGCGTCCTTGCAATCAATGAGAAAGGAGGAAAAGCGTACGCTCGTGTGTCCGGCCACTGTTGGAGGAAGGCATCTGAAGCCAATGCCTCTGGATCCGGTCTCCAACTGAAGAAACTCGGTAGTTGGGAGTTCAACCGTGAAGCGAAGAGGTCGATCCCTAGTGGGCCCCAGAGTGTTTGGAGTTGCAGGAAAATGGCCCGCTTCAGCCGCCAGTCGCTTGCATCCCGTAGGTATCTGGAATTCCAATCCGCCACCATATTGGACATCCCGGGAATGTGTTCCGCCTGAACCGAAATATTGCGATCCAGGCAGAAGTGCCAGAAGTCTTTTGCTAGATCCGCTAACACCACTGACTTCATACCCCCGAGATGATTGATGTAGCGGACCGCTGACACGTTGTCCATCCGTAAAAGAATGGAACAGTTGGTTGAGATACCTACGAGACTCCGAACTGCAAATGACCCTGCCATAAGCTCGAGGCAATTGATGTGTAACTCCTGTTCGTCTGGGGACCATTTCCCTCCGGTGGAGATAGGACCACAACGCGCGCCCCAGCCCAGCAGACTTGCGTCCGATTCCATGACGAAGTCCGGCCTCGTCCCAAAGATTGCTCTTCCGTTCCATGCTTCCATGTGCTGCAGCCACCAAGAGAGTTCTTCTTTGGCAGCACAATCGAGAGGTACAGAGTCTCAATAGGAGAGACCTGACCGAAGGTATTTTGCCTTTAGGCGTTGAAGGGCCCTGTAGTGAAGTGGGCCCGGGAAAATGGCCTGGATGGAGGCCGAGAGAAGGCCGATGATCCTGGCCAGTTGCCGTAGCGTTAGTGCAGGGCGAGCCAGTGTCCGGCGGATTTCTTTCTTGATGATCCTGACTTTGGACGATGGTAACAGGAGTGTCCCTTCCACTGAATCGATGGTGAAGCCTAGAAACTCCAAGACTTGGGAGGGTTGTACCACCGACTTGCCCCAGTTGATGAGGAAACCAAGGTTGCCGAGTAATGTCTTTGTCCAAATCAGATGTTCTTGGAGTAAGAGTGGGTCTTGTGCCATCAGAAGCATGTCGTCCAAGTATATAATCAGACGTACTCCTCTGCTGCGTAGGAGAGCGACCACTGGCCGCATGAGCTTCGTGAAGCACCATGGGGCCGAGGAGAGGCCGAAGGGCAAGCATTTCAAACGCCATGTGGTCTCCTCCCATTGGAACTGGAGGAAATGTTGGCAATCCTCGGCCATTGGGACGGTGAGGTATGCGTCCTGCAGATCGAGTTTGACCATCCAATCCTCCAAGAGGAGCAGGTCTCGGAGGGAGTGGATGCCCTCCATTTTAAAATGGTGGTACGCTACAAAGGCGTTCAGGGGACGTAAGTTGATGACCGGACGGACACCCCCGCCTTTCTTGGGCACCACGAACAGGTTGCTTAGAAAACCTGAAACCCCTGGATGCGTCTCTATGATTGCACCTTTGTCGGCCAGGGATTGTATCTCCACTGTGATTAATGCCTTGTCGTGGATGGAGGAGACTATGTGTCTGGGGAGGGATATCTGGACAGGTGTTTGTACAAATTCTATGGCATAACCCACTACAGTTTGAAGGACCCAAGTATCGGAAGTTAACATTCGCCAGGCATCGATAAAGTGGCCTAACCTGCCCCCCACCAACGTTACTGAAGTTAGTGATGAAGGAAGTGGACTTACCATAAGGGCGTCGGCCATAGGAAACGCTTCTGGATCCACGAGCCTGCCAGGGTCTTCCTCGAACTGGGAAGAATGGAGAGGGCTTGGGTACCTCACTCTGGTAACGTGACTGGAAGGGGCCTCTAGAAACCCGGTACGAGCCCCGGGAAGAACGGCCGGGCAGACGGCCCCGATATCTGCCGGCCCCGCCAAAAACTCTATGGGAGAATACCTTTTTCATATTGGCTTGCGCCTTGTCCAGAGCAGTAAATGTGCCCACATAGGTACCC